ACTCTTTCCTGCCTATGCAGGGGGTCGGACTCGATGATCTATTGAGGTCCCTTCCAGCCCTAACATCTATGAATCTATGAATCAAGGCCAGTGGAACTGAGCAGAAGCAGACTGTTGTTTTATGAACTGTGAGTTTGTGTAGCCCATAGTGCTTGGAGTCCCTAATCTATGACTTGGTCCCCAGTACAACTACAACCAGAGTAGTGGATTTGCATAATCTGGGAGATCTGACTCTGTACATTCAAGCTTCATTCCACTCTGTTTCTCTACTGTGTCAGTGTAGGTAGACAATGAAAAAATTATTCTGCTGTCTATGGGAGCTACAGCTTTGCACCATTCTGATGTATGATCTAGTTCTTGGGAGTCCTGAATCCCAGACTTCTCACCAGATGGACATTCTGCTGTGCTGAATAACAAAGGTTGATATTGAACATCAGTCTTTCAATCATCTACGTTAGCTTCTTGTTTTGCTTTCCTTTTTCCCACCATCTGCAGAAAAAGGTTCAATTTTCATGAATACATAAAAAGCAGTATTTTTGGCAGCTGTAATGCACGGATCTCAAAGCCCTTTGTATAGGGGTAATTTTCATGTGCTCCATTTCACAAAGGAGAGAACTGAGGTAGTAGGTATTAACATGACTCACCCAACATATTCACAGCTGATCACTGTGAGACAAACAAATGGTATGATAAGTATTTGGTATCTTTAACATTAAAAAATGTGAGACAGTACTAACAACATTTGGGCATGAAGTAAGGTGGGACTGCAAACTAGATAATCTGTTTTTCCAGATAATCTGTTTTATCTAGCAGTGTGTTCCTGTTAAGGAAGTAAGGTTCTCTTCTGATCTGGGGAATAACTAGACTTACAATGGGATTTTTTTACATAGTCTTTTTCCCCCTCAAGCTCTTTAAGAACTGAGCAAAGTTTGTCTTAGAATATGTATGCATAACAATCTGGTTTAGGTCACATCTCCATTCAGATCTGTGGTCACGATATCATGGAATCAGTGGAAACAGTATTGGGTCCTCTATGTATAATTTGTTTCCAATACAGATGGCATAGAGATATGTTAATGTGTTGCTTTCCATGCATTTAGACCTCTGGGACCTGAGGTGCTCCCAGGGCCCCTTTTCCCTAGTTATGAGAGCCCAGAAAAGCTCCCAGCCTGCCTGCCTCCCCCCCCTCCCCCCTCAAGTAAATTAGAGCAACTGCAAGAGAAAGAAGGAAGAGGCAACTTGTGACCAACTCCTGCTATGGATCTCAGAGCTGGAGCTGCTCCATTTTCCCCCTCCCCTCATTCTGAAGTGAAGGGACAATGAGCTGCATCAGAAACACGGTCAGTTTTATAGAATTTCTCCAAATACATGAAATTGCAGTGGGTGATTCAGGGAGAAGGAGAAGGGGATATTCACCTTAGAAGGGGAATTCTATCTAATCTCAAATATTCATCTAACTAGGTTAGTGTGTATATTTAAAAAGGGAGGAGAGGGAGAGAAAAATAGAAAAAAGGTCTTGAAAGACAGGGAAATATTTGCTATAGAATGATGGTGATGGAAGTCCTTGGTGAGGAAATCTTATTCTGTCTTGATAAAGATAGTGTATCCCCATTGGGCTGTACTGAAATGAGAACATCCCAAATGCTGGAACTTTCCCAGTCTGTCTTGGGGACAATTTCTTATTACTTGAAACTAGCACCTTTGATCTTCTACTTGGCTGCCCCCAGCCTCTAGAATAGCTTTCCCTAAATACCTGCAGATCCTCCATTCTTCTCTTTCCAGTCCTCCCCTATGAATTTCCTTTTCTGTGATGCCTATCAAAATCTCTATCTCAGCCACCATGCTTGTGTGGTGAGATCCCAGTGTGTCATGCTGAGCAGTGCTGCCTCCCTTGGTCTCTCTGCCCAGCAATCGGAGGTGAAGTTGCTGCATATGCAGAGGTGTGATTGCTAGGTAAAGGGAGCTTTGGCGTGATTTGCACAGGCATCCCCGAACTCTAGTCATCAACAGTTACCTAGGTCAAGGGTTGTCGACTGAGGGTACACATACCCCTGGGGGTACTTTGAAAGGTCCAGGGGATACACGGGGGTGGGTGGGGACGGAGTGCCATCACGCCACAGTGCTGCCTCACAGGAGCAGGGCCAGGGTGGAGTGAGAGTAGGGCCACACAGACTCTGCACTGCTGCCACTCTCCGCGCCCCCTGCAACCTGCGTTTGGCCACTCGCCACTCCCTTCACTGCACTGCATCCGGTTGCTCACCACCCCTGCCTCATGTACTGCGTCCAGCTGCTCGCCACCCCACTCCGGGGTAAACTTATTAAAAAGGGGGCTGCCAGAGGTATACTTATTAAAAAAGTTGAAAACCATGCCCCTTACTGCCTTTTCTTTTTCTTGGCAGAGCCTGCCCGTATGACCTGCCACTGGGTTGTGCAGCCCCTGAGCTGCAAGGGGCCCTGATCCTTCCCTCTGTGGTGGTGGTGCCACCCAGTGCTGTCTGGGTGGGGTGCTAGCAGGCAAGTGCTGCCCGGGGGGCTCCACCACCATGGAGGGAAGGAGCAGGGGTCTCCACAGCTCAGGGCCCGCTGGCAGCTTGTTCCCCAGCTGCAGGAGAGGTGAGCAGGCTGTGGGCAGAAAAAGAAAAGGATTGGACTCCTCACCACTATTTTTTTTTTCCCAGCAGAGCCTGCCTGTGGCAGCAGTGTGCAGGGTGTGAGCTGACAGGGGGCCATCACTGTTTTGTTACAGTTACAGAAGTCCCTAAATTGAAGCAGTGGATTTTTAATTGACATAATTAAAAACCCACCGATTTTTAAAAACCCACCATTTCAAGTTAGGGAGAACTAAACTCCTGTCACGTGTACAAGTGGCCAATGTGTCATGATGGGGAATAAAGAAGAAATGTGGAGGATAAACTGCAGTTGCTCAGCAGGGACACATTTGGCACAGAGGAGCTCATGAAAAGAACTCCTGGTGCAAGATTTTGTGTATATTGTTTGCTTGTTTTTTTCCATTTTCTAATTGCTGTCTGTCTAACTTGTATTTTAGGAGCAAACTGTCCTGACTCTCCTTGTTGTCTAGACAAGATTAGTGACACACATTGACCAGAGAAGACACCAAGGGAAGACACTCCTGTGTGTAGAATCTGAAAGCCTATAATACAACTGCACTGTAGACAGCTTGCAGACATTCATGGGAATAAATACACTTTAGCCATTTCCTTGGGTTAATCCACATACTACACAAAGAGCCATGTACCATGGAAAATTTGGAGGTAATTGCTCCCAGGTGACAGAATTCATTCTCAAGGGATTCACAGATCATCCAAAATTTAAAACTGTACTGTTTGTGCTGTTCTTGGTGATCTACATTGTCACTGTGCTGGGGAATCTTGGTATATTCACACTTATCAGGACTGATGTCCGACTTCACACCCCCATGTACTTTTTCCTCAGTAACTTGTCCATTGTAGATATCTGTTACTCCACAGTTGTCACCCCCAAGATGTTAGTGGATCTGTTAGCAGACAAGAAAGCCATACCTTATGCTGCATGTGCAACCCAGATTTTATTTTTCACTTTGTTTATTGTAGTAGAATGTTTCCTCCTGGCTGCAATGGCATATGACCGATATGTCGCCATTTGTAATCCACTCCTCTACCAGGCTGTCATGCATCCGAGGCATTGTGTCCATTTGGTAGTTGGTTCATTTCTAGCTGGATGTATAAATTCAATGGCACAAGCTACAGGCATGTTAGAACTCTCCTTCTGTGGTTCCAATATAATTGACTTGTTCTTCTGTGACATCTCCCCAGTGTTATCACTTTCCACTTCCGATACTACCATCAATCACATTGTCCTCATAACAGTGGCCTATTTGTCAGGGGTAGTCAGCAGTCTGATAGTCATTATCTCCTATGTTTTCATCCTCATTACCATCCTTAGGATCCACTCTGCTGAGGGCAAGCGCAAAGCCTTCTCCACTTGTGCATCCCACCTTACAGCTGTCAGCATCTTCTTTGGGACTGGCCTGTTCATCTATTTACAGCCAAGCACAAACTACTCAAGGGATCAGGACAAAGTGGCCTCAGTGTTCTACACAGTGGTGACCCCCATGCTGAACCCCCTGATCTACAGCCTGAGGAACAAGGAAGTGAAGAATGCCCTGAGGAGAGTGATGAAGAAGAGAAACTCCTTTATAGGAGATAAACTATTGTGCAAAAAGCAGTAAGAACTTATAAACCAATACCTGATCTATAAGTTTTATCTCAGTGGGCGAGTCTACATGCCACCCTATGGCAACATTGTTACTGCACTGTACTTCAGTATTTCCTTTTGGAAGTACAAGAGCATGGTGCAGTAACCACCTGTACTGAGCCATACTTGTGGCACATGGTTAGTTTTCACTGCTACTTCACCATAGCAGCACACTAAAATGGGGAGCATGCTGCTATGGTGAAGTAGCTGCCAATCATGTGTCACGTGATCACTGTGGCAATGTAGGGTGATGTGTAGATGCACCCAGTGTGTATTACCCCTGCTTGAGAATGAACTGCATTGGAACTTTCCCATTGTCAGTGAGTAGACTCCTCCACAGTTACAACATGCATTATCTATCCTAAGTTATTCAGCTCAGCAAAGAAAAAACACCACTTATTTATTAAAAATCAGTAGTTTTCCATAGAAATGTGTTTTATTCTATTAAAGAAGGGATAATTAGAAATTTGGGGTAGTATTCTCTACTTTCCTTGTTGTCTAAGAGCCTATTCATCATCCCAATGGCATTTTTGGCACTTGACCAAGGGATTCTGTTCCTTGGTCTACAGACTTATACATAAGAACACAGAGAGGGTATGGGCACTGATAAAAAGGACTATGTGAGAGACCTCCGTTCCTTCTTTCCCTCCCCTCTGTTCCATGCCAGAGTGGCTAGGGTACTATCCTCAGAGGCAAGAAAGCTTGGGTTCTGGGCATATTAAACCCGCTCTGGGTGAAACCTGTGTCTTTCTCAGTTTCTAGTACTGTGCTATGGCCTTCATGCCACAGATCAGCAAATACCCAGCCACTTCTCTGCTATTCCTTTTGAAGCTCAGCCACTGATCTTGTCACGGGACAAAAAAAAATGTATGGATGGCAGTGAAGGGGAGCAGCTTCTGAACCCTGAGCCCCTGGCTTCTAGGCCACTTCACAGATGCACATACAACCTGATTTGCTTTTTTCCTCCTGGCCGCACATATCTTTGACATGCCTTCCTCTTATGGCTGCCCAGGGGATGAGCTTCAAAAGAAGCACCAGAGAGGGGCCTGGGTTCTGGTCAATCTGTGCCTCAGCTTGATCAGGTTTCCTACTGCTTTAACAGTCAAGGTGAGGAGAGACTAGAATTAGATTAGAGGCCGGGCTCAGGTTTAGGGGTTTAACACCAACTTTACAGATCTGGGTCAAGCCCCACCTAGAAACTTGAAAAAAGTAATTTAAACTGGATGTGCTGAAGTGAGCAAACTTCCTCACTTCCAGGCAACATTCAGCTAAATAGGGTTTATTAAAGGAGGAATGGGGATAAATGCACAGCCTTAAGGAACACTTTAAACTTGTGGCATTGATGCCTACACAGTCAGATGGGTCACAAATTGGCTGAGGGGCTGCACCCAGAGAGTGGTAGTGGACGGGTCATATTCGACCTGAAAGGATGTGGGCAGTGGGGTCCCCCAGGGATCGGTCCTTGGGCCCGCACTGTTTAATCTCTTTATTAGCGACACCAAGATCCAGGGCAAGGTGGGCATGCTAGAAGGGAGGGACAGGATACAGCTGGACCTGGACAGGTTACAGGGGTGGGCGAATGAGAATAGGATGGGATTCAATACTGAAAGTGCAGGGTACTGCACTTGGGCAGTAAAAACCAGCAGTATGCCTATAATCTGGGGAACTCCCTTCTCGAAAGCACAGTGGCAGAAAGAGATCTTGGAGTCATTATCGATTCCAAAATGAACATGGGCCGCCAATGTGAGGACACGGTCAGTAAGGCTAACCACACCTTGTTATGCATCCACAGATGCATCACGAGCAGGGCCAAGGAGGTGATCCTCCCCCTCTGTGCGACAGTGGTCAGGCCACAGTTGGAGTAGTGTGTCCAGTTCTGGGTGCTGCATGTTAGGAGGGATGTGGCCAACATCGAGAGGGTCCATAGAAGGGCCACTCGTATGATCAGAAGGCAGCAGGGCAGGCCCTAAGAGAAAAGGCTATGGGACCTGAACCTGTTCAGCCTTCACAAGAGAAGGCTGAGAGGGGACCTGGTGGTCATCTACAAACTTACCAGGGGGGACCAGCGGGGAATGGGAGGCACCCTGTTCACCCGAGCACCTCCCAGAGTAACCAGGAATAATAGCCATAAGTTTTTTGAGAGTAGGTTCAGGCTGGACATTAGAAGGCACTACTTTACAGTCAGGGCGGCTAGGATCTGGAACCAACTTCCAAGGGAAGTGGTGCTCGCTCCTACCCTGGGGGTCTTTAAGAGGAGGCTTGACAATTATCTAGCTGGGGTCATATAAGCCCAGTATTCTCTCCTGCCCAGGCAGGGGGTCAGACTGGATGATCTACTTGGGTCCCTTCCGACCCTACATCTATGAATCTATGAAAACATTAACTATTGAACTTTGACTGAAACTGAACAGAGGTAGTCAGTCATTGGAAAACTAACCCAGGGGAGCAACCACCTAGACTTGCTTGGGACTCTCATGCAGGAGCTTTACCATCTATGGCAGCTGAAATAGCAAGTGTTGGGAAGGGACACCCATTCCAGAGAACCATGTTGCTCCTTGCTGGCTGGGAGCATGCAATAGGGTTGTCTGTCCCCTTAAGAAGCTGTGTGGCATTCTGCTGATGGAGAGCCATGGGGTAGCAGTTTTGTGTCTCAAATGTATGTAGTCCCTATCTGAATACCCTGCCATGGCTGCTGTCAGGTAAGAGTGAAGATCTCAGTCCCTTTGCTGCTCCCTTACTGTGTGTAATGGTACTCTGTGTCTCCGTGGGCACATCTCCATGAGATGCTTAATGGTGCAGTAGTGTAGTTTACTGTGCAGTAAGCATATGTGTCTACATGTGAACACAATAAGTTACTGCACAGTTACCCATCTGTAGACATGACCCGGAAGCAAGTTTGCTCCTGGGTCAGCCTTGTCACTAGGGGGCCAGCCTGAGGCTAGGCCCAGGGCTCCAGGCTGGGAGTCTCTACTGCCCCAGGGCTGGGCTGCCTGTCCGCCTACGCGCCCCCCCCTGCCTCTGAGTGCCTGCAAGCTTTTAAAGGCCTGAGTCCTGGGGAATACCAGCAGGGAGCCTGAGGGCAATCCAGGCCCCTGTGTCCCCATGGGCTGCCCTAGCCTGCCTGCACCCCAGCACTGCTGCCTGGCACTGCAGTACTGCATGGCTGCCAGGGCTGTGCTGTCCAGGCCTGAAGGCTTCTCTAGGCTGCTTCAGGCTCTAGCCAGGCCTGCCAGCCCCCAGGCCCAGCTGCAGGCAGCTTCTGGCTGCTGGGGCCAGCTCCACCAGTATGCAGCCCACCCCCAGCAGCCAGTCCTCAGCTTGCAAGTGCTGTGGGGCATTGCCTGTGCTACGTGGCTGCCAGTCCTGTGCCAGGCCCCTGCACTGGGCACTGCAGGCAGCTGCCCAGGCCTGATGGCACAGGGACCACCACACGGGGGCCCAGAGAGCTGGCATGGGACTCACAATGTCTGTGCCTGTGCCTATGCCTGCCACCTAGGGCCCCAACTGGTCTATGGAGGAGACTGGTGACCTCATGGTGCTGTGGGGTGAGGCAGAGGTGCAGCATGAGTTTATGTGGGGTGGGTGCTCCAATGCCCACATCTATGAGGAGTTGTCAGCCCAGATTTGGGAGCATGGGCATGACCAGTTGGTGTGGCCCCAGCTCTGGCTTATCCACAACCTAACCAGCCATTTGTCTTAGAACCAATTCCTTGTGCATTTGTGGCAAGTTCTGTTTTAAGCCAAAACTTGTGAACAGGGAGAAAGCTAGTAGTTCATGCCTCCAGAGTGTTAACTGAAGTTGAAAAAAACTTTAGTCCTTGTAAAAAGGGTTCTGGCACTGGTGTGGACAGTGCAGCATTGGAAATACTTGACAGGGCTAGCCCCTATTGTTCTTAGGGACATGCATACACTTGTGAAATACATTTTATCCAGAAAGGCACAGGAGGGAGGAGTGTCCAGTCCTTGGTTAGCTAAATGGATCCTGACTCTTAAACAGAAATATACAAATGCAGTTATTAAAAGAATAATCTCTAGGGCCCTATGGTCTTTTAATTGAGAGGGACCCTAACCATGAGTTCCCATTGCCCACATACTCTTCTCATCACCCTATTCCCATTGCAGGAGGTGCAGTTGTCAAGTCAGTAGATTTAGTTTGTGGATGGGTCTAGTATTATGAGCAAGGTACTCCATGCACAGGATATGCAGCAGTTTTGACTAATAATCCCAATACTATTTGCAAGGGAGTGTACCTCTCTCTCTGCTCAGGCTGCTGAAATAATAGCTATTATAGCAGCCTTGGAAAACACACCAGTAAATGAAAAAGTTACTGTGTTTTCTGATTCTGATTGGGTAGTATGTACCCTGGTTGATTGGTTCCCTGCCTGGGAACAGAGAGACTACTGAACAGATAGCAGATGGAAAGCCAATAGCACATATTAAAAAATTTAAACATGTTTGGAATTTAGCAAAAGGGTGACCAGGAGGGGTGCAGTTGGGTAAGGTAAAGGATCCTAAAAAGGGAACAAAAGAAGCTAAGTGGAATAATTAAGTTGATCAAGGGTAATGAAATCACTGTAGCCATGGTGCAGCTTCAAGCACAGGATAAGGTTATTCAAGATCTGGTAAATTTCATAGATTTCATAGACATCAGGGCTGGAAGGGACCTCGGAAGATCATTGAGTCCATCCCCCTGCCCGAGGGGCAGGAAGTCAGCTGGGGTCATAGGATCCCAGCAAGATAAGCATCCAATTTACTCTTGAAGGTGTTCAGTGTAGGTGCTTGAACCACCTCCGATGGCAGGCTATTCCAGATCTTGGGGGGCTTGGACAGTAAAGAAATTCTTCCTTATGTCCAGCCTGAAACGGTCTTGCAGTAGTTTATAACCATTCGACCTAGTTGTCATCCCTTGGGGTGCTCTGTTGAACAAATGTTCTCCCAGATACTGGTGGTCACCCCGATAAACTTATAGGTGGC